TAAATTAATTATAAAAAATTATATTTATTACACTTTTAATTTATATATTTAAGATAAAAATTAGATTAACATTATATTAATTTTAATGTGAAAGTTAACTATAGAAGAGAAGAAAGTTCGAGGTAGTAGATTCTTTTCTTCCTAAACATAAAATAAATAAAATTTTAAGCCACTCTTTTCAATCGAAGAGGTGGTGTCCCAGTGGCAAAGGTGATTGAAAATTCCCCTTTTAAGTCCTTGTGTTCAAAGCCTGCAGGTTACAACTTTATAAGAAATTTTTCAAAAATTTAAATCGTCCGGTTGAATGGTTTAATGGTTTGTATTGGTCCAAACGGTTTTATTAGTTTTGAACAAGTCAACCACTTTACCGGTTCTAAACCTTAACCCGAGCCATTTATTGTACCGGGTACCAGTCCGACAAATTCAACCAATTGGTCCGGTCTGATTTTTAAAACATTGGATTCAACAACATGCGAGTTGGAAAAGACACACTTAGTCATAGCTTTCCTTGCTGTCTCACCATTCAATTTGGTTTCCAAAAGCAGCATTATAGCCAGGGAGTGACGACCCTTAAAATCCATAATGCGACGATGAAAGTCAATTTTTGCTGCGCCACGACAATTCCATGATAGCATCTTCATAGTCCAATAGCAAGAATTGGTTAATTCCATATCCAATTTAGCTAATGTCTGGTCAAACATTGGCTCCCTGGTCTCCTTGTGCAAAAGCATCATCATCGCCTCAGGAGAGTGATACAAAAGAATCAACCAATTGTAGTTCATATCTTCCTCCATCTCGAGCAACATTGAGGACTTTACAATAACATGGATCTTCTCCATTGTTCCCATCGCCTTGGTTAGTTGGGGATGAGCCTATTACGCCGAGCAAGAAATTCTCACTTGTTGAATAAGGTCCTGTTTCTCGGCGAAGTCTGCTCCTTCGTTGGTGGATTCGTAACCTTGTGTTTTGAGGTGATCGATCAGAACTTTCTGATCTGCTTCCACCATTGGAAGTGAGCTGAGGAAAGGTTTTAGATTGATTGTCTTGAGCATGAGAATCAGTTTGCACCAAGCTTGGAATAGATCCTCCTCTTTCCATAGTGGATTTGATACTTCCTCCTATAACCATATTAGGTTTAATGCTTCCTCCATCTATAAGACATTGTTGTTTGCTTCTAACAAAATCTGTCGATTGGGGCTCAATGAGGTGAATGGTGGAAGATCCATCATGGCTTGACAAAGGATTAGGGCATAATATCACATCCAAGGACACAAGGGGACTAGCAGTAATTTTTTCTATATTTTTAACTTTATCTTTAACAGATAAGAGGGCCACCTCTAAAGGAGAAGACTTATTCACAATTGAGCTTTAGGGCCCAGTAGAGATGTAATCCAATGTTGCGGTGTTGGACTCTAAGTTTAACTAGGCCTTTCTTTGGCTCACGAATCCAGGAACCTTAGAAACCCCTTTTTCCAAGTTCTATGAGGATGTACTTTTAGAAGAATTGGCCATTAGATTTGGGCTTAATTGATCATTACAAGTTCTGATTGTCATAACCCGATTTTTTATTCAGCTTATTTAAA